TACTACTACTACTAGTACTACTACCGGTAGCATCGTCGTTATCGTTGTCTCATGTGTCGGTTAGTGGAAGTTCATAAGGAGTTCCCATTGAAGACTTCAGAACAAGTCCTTCGACGAGCGTGCAGCGTGCTTTCACCCACGACATTCGATGTTGTAAAGAGCCCATCATCTCTGCATGCAGCTAAGATTTTACAGTCAGAGGCCGGTCTGAACACTACTCCGAGCCCGTCAGGAAGAAAGACTTCCGACCTAACGGACTCAATGTGGCTTCGTGAGGTACATAGGGCTTAGGGTTTGGGATAGTCTGCAGAGAGACATTTGCGTATGTTGACCATCGTCGAAAATCCCGTGGCACAACATTCTAGCAAAACCGCTTTCAAAATCAAGAAGTCGTTTCCCACAACATGCCCCAGCAGTGTACTGCACAATTCCGGGTAGTTTCAAGGAAACCTGTTGGTTTGAATTAGGCACTAACAGGGTTAATTATTGATGGGTGCTCATAGTAGTTCGTAGTGATGCCATTGTTTAGATTTTTATCAGGGTCCCAGAGTTTTAGAAATCGCCATCGGGGGAGGCTGCCGGAAAGCTGGGCCGCGCATTGGCAGATGCTTTGGCGCAAGCCTTTCAGCGACCCGACTGAAGTGCAACCGGTATTGTGTGCAAGTCCGAAGAGTTGATTTTCCTTGGTGGCTGACTTGCCACAGAAACCGAAGCCTCAATTGCTACTTAGACTTAAACCCTTAGACAGGGAGGTACTGTGCCGAATCCGTGGACACCCCGGGGCTGCCGCCTTCTTTTACTTTCCATTGTCCGTAAGCCCCTACCTCCTTGTTGCAGAGCCTTGGTGCAACAAAAGCTAGGACAAAACAGGCGGCTATCCTCAAACCCCCATGCTTCGGTTGAAGTCTACCGGTGTGCTGTGTCTAGAGCAGCAACCTTCCTTGGGTCCAGGTTTATTGTAATCTAGGCGCCTGAAAAGTCAGCAGTTTGATTCTGTCGGGTTCTCTAGTATGATTCCCTAAGGGTCCATGTGCCCAAAAAGTGGAGACTTTGGCCTTAAAGTAGTCCCTATTTAGACACTTTGGGGCCAAAGTACCTACTATTTGGGCACATGGACCCTTAGGGATTGTAGTATAATGGCCCCAAGCCGGATTGTAGTTCAAAGACCAATATCTTTGTCTTTCGAGACAGTCGCTTCACTGCGAAAGCCGGTAGCTATCGGGCACACAACGGGCCGATAGTGCTTTTGCAAGGCTCTGTGCCCTCAAGCACCAAAGTCCGATGCATAGGCCCTGACCCTTTCACCGCAATTCAAGTTCTCTTCCGTGAACACGTCCTTTCCATCCTGACTCCTACCTATAGTCTCCATTGTGGTCCTTCTCTGCGTTAATCGCCTCATAGGCTTCTAGGAATTTCTTAAACCAAAAAAGGGCACTACAATGGAGACTATAGAAACAAACTACAATACACGCACCATTCACGGACTCCGACCTCCGACGCGCGTAGTCAGTCCCCTGAGTTTGGCACAGGAGAAAGGCCATGGCTATGCCATGGTGGGGTGATGGTGGTGGTGGTGTTGGTGGTGGCGGTGGTCATGACCACAGCGACGACATTGCATCTGATGATGGATGTCTTGGGGGGTATGCCGGCGCGGCCCTGTCACTTCTGTTGGCTCCGGGCCAGCACGGGGAAGTAACAACATGTTTAGTAACCTGCTATGTAGGCACTGGAGGCCTAGGGTTACCTGGTTACCTTGCTGTGGGGCCATAGCCCTGCAACCGCCCACCGAGGTCTATCCATGAAGCGCAGTCACCTGGCAACATGTGGCTGACGTTCTGGGACGAGGGCGCACGCATCGCGGTGTTGTGCGTTTTTCAGAGAAACGGTTTTTGGCTTCAGGTAGCGGAAGCTTGAACACAGTCTCGGGAAGAAATGCTTGTGCTGTAGTGATAAACATGAATCGGTCGTTGCCGGGTGAACCTGCCAGTCTTTGGCAAGAGCTCATGCTGCAGTGAGAATTTGAGTGAACCTTCGTGTCTTTGGATTTCTGTGAATTTCCTCTTGGCCCCTACCAAATCCCATTGATGGAGTCAAACGAGTTCGGGTCAAACAAGACCGGCTTATTCTCTCCCCCACGCCTGGTGAAAGCTTTCCATCGACATGCTGACTGTCGAGGAAGAGTGCTGCAACACGACTGACTTTGAGCTCTTCGCCGCGGAAAACCTTCAGTCTGCCGAACAAGAAAGCCTAGGGTGCAGGACGTAAAGTGCAGGTTCGAAGTTGGACACTGCAGACGAATACAGAGGTCTGAAGAATCAAGAACAGTATTCCGTATATACGCCCAAAGCCCATTCTACTTATTGAGGCCGTCACACTAATCTAAGGGTCCATGTGCTCATATAGTATATACATTGGCCCCAAAGTACCTATATAGGGACTACTTTAAGGCCAAAGTATATTCTATGTGCGTACATGGACCCTTAGGGCTTGGGTTTCGGAACTCTAACTGCCAAAGCACAGCCTAGACTGCAACGGCGGCCGCAAGTCTCACTTGACCAGGCCCCGAGTTTGCTCTTTTGCTAAGCATCAAACAGGGAATCATCAACGATATGTGTTACATAAGAAGGCATATGAAATAAAAAGTGACATTATTCTGGAAAAGAATGGAAAGTACAACTACTCGAGGTATGAGGGTATTTCTGCATTTTTGGGGCAGTAGCGTCTGAATACAGGTTCGGAACATTCGGACGAGGACGGTTCGGATCCTGGTCTTCTCGAAAAGCGAGCGAGCCGTGGGCTCATTTTAAAGTAGAAACCAGCCATTGGCTACAATTGCGTTCCTTTTCCTTTGGCGGGTCCAAAAATTATGGACCCTTCCGTGTCTTGCTTCCCCTGACGGAGGTGGCTGTTCCAAGCATCCCGAGGAAGGAGTAGTCACTAGAAGTTGCCCGGAAGGCATCCCTTTCGAGACCAGAGTAACTGCGCACCGAAGCCCCCGCCCTCCAAAAACCTGGGTGGCTCAGAGGCCCGGCAATGCTCCACTGCAAATAGTTGCAAACGGTCAAGCCGGGTAGCATATTCCAGGTTCAAAGGCATGTAAAGGCTTGAGGTTTACACTCTAGTGCGCTACAGAACCAGAGTGACCATAGAGTCACATGCACTGTACCTACCTAGATCCTCCCTCCACCCTCTATATACTAGAGCCTAGATACTGCAGAAAAATCACTGGTACCCATCATTTGGCATCATCTACCCCTATTTGAGGGTACAAGGAGGGTGCTGGAGGCCTCCCCTTGACTGTTTGGGCCTCGATGCTCTGGACGGAGCTGTGCAACTCTCGACAAGAGCGACCTGCAGAAGAAGCATCGTCGCTGTATTTGTGCATTATATATATATATATACACGGTGTCGTTTGTTTTAAATAAGTGGGGGCACAGAGGTAGTATCAATGTGCCGTTTAGAATTTAGTTTAACAGCGTGTATTGAGAAAAACACGCTCCACCCCTCCACCTCCACCCCTCCACCCCCCCCCCCGCCCTCCAGGCCCCTTTGCCACCCATCCACCCCTCCATCTGTTCGAAACGGGCGGCGGTAGTACAAAATATATGTTTAGGCATTAAAAATGCGCATGTTTGAAAATCGTCACCGTATATAATATTTCTGTATGTATGTATGTATGTAATGTAATGTAATGTAATGTAATGTAATGTAATGTAATGTAATGTAATGTAATGTAATGTAATGTAATGTAATGTAATGTAATGTAATGTAATGTAATATATGTATGTATG